GTCGTTGTCACAGTGGCGACAGGTAATTTGTCAAATCTCAGCCTGATAAGCAATTTTCACGTCATGTGTAAAAAACTTTCAGCACATGCCTTACAAAGACTCCGACACTGATTAGCATCTGTATGAGACCGCTAAACATCTGCTCTGCGGTCGAGACGACTTTTGGGAAAAGACGGTACTCGTGATCCCTGGTGCACCCTATGACCCCGGCAAGGGCAGAGAAGAGATCTGCGAAGCTCTTGGCGAGCATCGTTGCAAAGAAAGATGTAGAAAAGAGGGTCTAGAAGGGTGTTGAGACTGGTGAGCCCGTAGCAGATTCGATAGTAAAGGTAAAGAGAAACTTCCACCAAACACTGGTCTTTTTCACTTTCCGTGAGAAGCAGGGTAACAAATCTGTAGCCGACCACCAGATGATAGGGACCAAAAATGACAATGAAGATGACAGTGATGACAACCAGGGTTGCGACAATCCTGCGGCGTTCGTGATCCGTGACAGACGGGGAGTTCCGCAGAGTCAGCCCGATTCGGCCAGAGGTGTACCTGAATGTGAATAAGAGGAACGAAAGGCCAAAAGGTTATGAATGACATAGTTATGATTGTGTTTACAGTAACATTCCTTTAAAGAGACAGATGTTGTATCTGTGTTTGTCATCTGTGCAATGGCATTTTGATGGCATGCTAATTCATTCCTAGGCCTGTGTGCTGAGACAACATGTTTCTAACGTGCCTATAAATACGGGTTGGTAAAAGCTTTTTGTAAGGTAAACAATGCAGGATTCAATGACAAACAAGAGTGTCTGCGATAATAAATATTTTTAAAATCTAGTTTAAATCACACGCGCCAAGTTCTTAGAAATGTACTCATACTCTTAGTATTCATGTTGGTTTCATAGGGTTTTAAAAACCTTTTATACCTTTTATATTTAAGAAAAAATTAAAACCACATATACAAATATATAACAATTCATAACATGTACATTTCTTATTTTTAAAACTGTTTTTAAATGTTCTATTTTCAAAGGAAAAGCAAGGCAAATTTATTTATATAGTTCATTTCATACACAATGGTAAAAGGTTCAAAGTGTTTTATACAAAAAACATTAAAGATAATCATAAAATAGTCATAACAGGTGATTAAGAAATCAAATTAACAATGGAAAAGTAAAAAAAAAAAGATTCTCATAAAAAATTTGAAAGGTGAAATTTTTTTTTTTAGAAATATCATGAATTATTCATACATATACATCAATGCATTTTTAAGTAGTCATGCCACATGATATTTTACAACCTGAACTAACTCTATCTTGTCATAAAATGGTTAAAGTATCTTATTTTAAGAGATGTTTTGACCTTGACACACAGGGTCAGCAGAGGCCCTCTCAGTGATATCATTTCCTGTTTTATGATTTTTCCCCCTGCATATTGGTTGCGCCACATTGATTAGGCTGAACATTAATTTTATTTTTAAATATTAATATTATTAATACATTTCTAAGAAATAATAACAAATAAACTATGTGATCTAGGGAATTTAATTCCTTTAATGGTGATATATTTTTTGCATTATGACATGAGTACAGTTTTATCACCCTGACATTGACCTTATGACCCCCCTAAAAGCATAAATTAATTTTATTCAGAAATTAAAAACATGCTCATTGAAGAAGAGATTTTTAAATAAATGATTAGATTTGGACTAAAAAGAACATTCTTTTATTGACCTAGGTACAGTCACATGAATTTCACTTACCCTAGTATAGAGCAGGGCATCAGAAACCCTAAAGCAACTGTGGCGATTTTAAAGTAAGCATATCTGGTGCTCACAGGGTACTGCTCCAGACACAGCTCTCTCTGGGGCTCGAACACAGATGGGTAGAGGCCAGTCAGGCAGAACAGAAATATCAAAGTCCACACTACCATACCAGAAAACGCTGCCACTCGCACTTTCCGTACACCACGGCTGCTGAGAGGGTACACGATTGCTAGACAGCGGTCCAGGGCGATGAGGCAAAGAAAAATGACACTGGCATAGAGGTTAACGTAAAAAACGTAGCCCACTAGCTGGCAGGTCACAGACCCGTAAGGCCAGTGGTGGTCTCCCTGCAGGTATAGGATCCACAGTGGCAAGGTGAGTAGCTGGAGAAGATCTGAAAGCAGTAAGTTTAGGATATAGACCAGCTGGCAGCCACCTCCACCAGACCGGCCTAGCTGGTACAGTCCCCAGAGGGAGAGCAGGTTAGCTGGGAGTCCAATAGAGAAGGCAAGGCTGTAGATGTAGGTCAGACCTACTCTGTCATTTGCCAGAGGGATTTGGCAGCTCCCATTGGTCAGGTCTGTGGAAAATTAGAAAATCTTTTTTTTTTTTTTTTTTAAGAATTTTAAGAGTATAACATTTCTTTTCCTTGCTCAATAAAAGTATTAATTTAAAAAAATTTGTAAAAACCTTTGAAAGTCTGTGTATATTTATTTACTAAAGATTACAGTTAAATGTCGTTAAAGGGGTCATATGATGTTGCTAAAAAGAACATTATTTTGTGTATTTGGTGTAATGAAATGTGTTTATGCGGTTTAAGGTTCAAAAAACACATTATTTTCCACATACTGTACATTATTGTATTGTTACACAGCCTTTCAAAGGTTTTTACAAAATATTTAAAATGAATACTTTTACTGAGCAAGGAAATTACATTTACCAAAAGTGACCGTAAAGACTTTTACATTGTTACAAAAGAATTCTATTTCAAATAAAAGCAGTTTTTTTTAAAACTTTCTATTCATCAAAGAATTCTGGGGGGAAAAGTACCACAGTTTCCCAAAATGATTAAGCAGAACAACTGTTTTTAACATTGATAACATCTGACTAACAATGGCTACTGAAAATTCAGCTTTGCCATCACAGAAATAAATTACATACTAAAATATCTAGACATACAAAACAGGTATTTTAAATTGTTATAATATTTAATTTATAAGTTATATTAATTTGAGTTTTTTTTACTATATTTTTAATCAAATAAATGCAATAAAAGATGTTTTATTAAAAAAAAAAAAAAATCTTACAACACCAGTCTTTTGAACAGCAGTGTATACTTTTGAATGTTGTAATGTTTAAATTCACTTTAAATGATTGATTTTAGTGTTTAATTTTTTTATATTTTTAATTCATTCAGACAAAACAGTACCAAATTTTAATATAAACCATAACATGAAAAACAATTTTAATATTGTACATCTTTAGTTGTTTTAAATATATCATGCAGAGGAATAGTAACTTACTCAGAAGCATGGCTTTATGGTTATGACTTGTCCATGACATTTGAATCTTCAAAATTTTCATTACAGATGTTGAAACAGACCAGTCCTCAGATTCTCCAGTCACCTCTGACAATGGTTAAGCAACCTGAGCAGAACACAGAAATGTCACACAATACTGTTCCACTATAAAATGTATGTCTGTCATTAGACAACACAACAATGAACAGACAACAAAACGGTTTGTTCCAGAACCTATGCTTATATTCATTAAAAATATAAATATTCCCACCTCTGTCTGGTCTGGAGAGCATCATCTGCATGTCCAGCTCCACTACATGTGCATAAACCTGTGCATGCATTAGACTGGAAAGTTCTGCCGTGTCCAACCATGGGCTTGTCTGGCTTTTTGATCATTTCCCCCAGCAGGAAGCCACTTCTACTGCTTTTGAGCAGCAACATCCTGAAGCCTTTCTCCTTCAGAACAAAAACACCCTCCTGCCTGCTGGCTATTATGAGGCAAAGATATGAGAGAGTCCAGGCTGTTCTTTCAGACGGAAGGGCCACTGACAGACAAGCTGTAACACCCTTATAGTCGTTTCCATGTCCCCTGTGAGACCCCTCTACCCCGCACCCCTTTGCTCTGGCTTACTGGCCTGCTCTGGAACACTGTTTTGAATGGTGTATCTAAACAATGTAAAAGCAAAGTTCCATAACAATAGAAGTTTTAAATGCCATTGAACATTTATGAACAAAGTAATCCTACAGAAATTTTGGTTTTGTGATGCACACCTTGTATGCTTAAATTAAATGTATTAAAATATTATATTAATATATTAATTATATAAAATATAATTATATTATTAAAATATATACATTTTTAAACATGCTTGTTTGTGCAGTGTGCTAGGAATGCCGCTTATTCCAAACAATGGAGGCTTTTATTCTACAGATGTGAACATGTGGTAAATGAATGAAATCAGGAAAGAATTCATGACCTGAGATAAGAAAGACCAGGAAGTGGATTAGAACTGAAACAAGCAAAGTTGCCAATTGAACCTTTAATGATGATTTAAAACACATTCACACTGGGAGAGGCTGACATGGAAATACATATTGTTGGTTTCTTTACAGGCACTAGATTATGTTGATTAAAGAACATATAAAATGTTGAGGATTTGGTGAATACACCACAAAAAGAATAGCATAAAGTTTGCAAGAATTTGATGCACAAAAAAAGTACAAAGATGGCTACAGTTAATTATTCAATTTATATTAGTTTGAGTAGTCATAACCAAAACGGTAAAATATAAAGATAATCCTAAAGTATTGTTTAACGATATTCTGGCATTGCATTTACAAGTTACACGTGGCCAGATCAGGTTTTTGTTCAGACTACAGCTGTTTTTGCAAACACTGGTTGTCATAGTAACAAACAAACTCAGGTTCACCATGCGTGAGACTTTCCATTTACATGCTACATTTACGCATTTGGCAGACACTTTTATACAAAGCAAATCACATTGCATTCAAAGGTATCCATTTGATCAGTGCATGCTTTCACTGGGAATCAAACCCATGACCTTGATGTTGCTAGCACTATGCTACAGGAATGACTTTAGCAGTACATGTTTTGGAACAGAGTTGGACAGGCAAAAAAAACAACAACAACAAAAAAAACCCTGATATTTGGCTGCTGCATTTAATTCAGTGTTTCATCAGCTTTTCAAAATGTACATATCAAATGTTCATTCCACCTTCCTCTTTTTGATTGACTTCCTGCAACACAAAAGCTTGCAGACATATGCTAAGGTCAAAAGAGCAATCACAGTGAACGTCAGTAGAAAGGCCAACACATCTATGTTGTGGTAAGAGTACCAAGGCAAGTTATTTCCCTCTGAGTGAAGGTGAGCTGCTCCTTTGTGTCTAATAACGTACTCAATCCAAAAAGTGGCGCTATCGAGAGGAGACAAGGGCCGATCGTGATGCAGCTCTGACAGTTTGCGGATGCTGCTCCGGTACAGCGGGTTCTCAAGGACGTCTTTGAGGGCTTCGAGGAATTCTTGCGAGGTGAGCGTTGCGACTTGAAGCACTCGAGCCGCACCTCGAACCTGCAGTCGCAGAACATTGTCAAACTGGTCAAAGAGGAGTGGCAAAGCTAAGACTGGGACTCCATGGTAAATAGCTTCATAGATACCATTGGTGCCCCCGTGAGATACAAACACACGAGTTTTTGGATGGCCCAGGAGATCATTCTGTGGAAACCACTCTAGAAGTAAAGTGTTCTTTCCCAGGGTCGAAGGTCGTTCCCCGTGGTACCTCCACAAGACTTTCTGAGGGATCTCAGCAAAGGCTGTAGCAATGGCCTCTGTGATTGCTGTAGGAAGAGCACTGACTACTGCTCCCAAGGACATGATGACTACTCCATGCTTCCCAGAGCTCTGCATAAACTCTTCCAGCTCCGTAGGAAGTGCTTGAGCAGGCTGACATTGAAAGCCACCCATGTAGACCATGTTAGGCATGGTGGGCCGTGGAAACTCAAAAACGAAGTCCATTCTCATCAACCAAATGTCAGCAGATTGTTGCATTGTCAGAAGATCAGTACCGGGCGGGAAGTGACGCTCAAGCAGCTCTCTGTAAATGGGCACGATGATGTATCGCTCCTGAAGGAGGCTGAACAGATACCGTAGGAAATTTTCCATCCGCTGTAGGAAGTTCATTTGGTCATGGAGCAATGAATTGTACATTGGGACGTGGGATGGAGGTGAGGGTGCAATTTGCATGTGAGCATCCCCTGCATTTAGCCAACGTACATTGTAAACCATGGGAAGGTGAAGGAAATTGGCTAACAGGACACCAGCTGGGAACGCAGGATCTGTTAACAGCAGGTCAAACTTAGCTTCTCGCAAGCGTTCTACAAGCGCTGCATCGTCAAAAATGGCAGAAACCATTCGGAGCGCTCCGTTGTGAAATACCTTTAGTATGTTGGCGATATCTTTCTGCTGTTCCAAGAAACGAAAAAAAGACGACATCCTTTGTAGTGCCAGCGACCTCTCTATCAACATCTTGAAGTAGTCAGGGCCAACATCTTCAGTCTCCACTGAGTTGACCGTGATGGTGCTGTAGAGGGAAGAATTCTCTTTGATATACCAACTTTTAGACGAACGCACCACAGTAAGGCTATGACTGTGGCTGTGGAGTTTTCTCAAAATGACTTTCATGTTCAGCCAGTGGCTGCCGTCCTCAGGCCACACCAGGATATTTCCACCATGACAGCAGCAGATCACAAAGAGTAGACAAGTCAGTGAAGATAGTTGTTTGGACCTCATACTCATCCTTCAGAAAGCTGAAAAAACACAAAGAGAGAAGAGAAAGTACAAGATGTTTACAATATTGCAGCCAGAGCATTTTATCCCATAATAAATATTTAGATATTTCCCATATAGACATTCACATCTACATCACTACTGGAATTACATGTTTGCGTTTTAAGATGATAATCCATTTGTAAACTGGAACACATGATACCGGTGACCCTGTGCAGAGTGATAATCTCCAGATCTTGAGGTAACAAGAAAAAATGCTCTGGATTTCTTAAGTGTTCAGTACAAGATATCCGTCTCATCCTTAATGGCTAAGTCCTTACTGTGAGAAACTTCTCCCTTTCTTTTTCTTTCCTAAATCCCACATCCCCTCCAGCTCCTCCCATTGGCTTTCTCTCTCCATCTGTCTGCCCTGTCACTGTGGATTTGCAACACAAACACCCGCGTTCAGCACAATAGATGGCCTCAAACACCCTATTAATCCTTAATGGAAAAAAAACACACACACGCCTTCAGGAGGCTTTTCAACAAGCTATAACATGCCATATGCCTATAGATCAAGGAATGAACATTTTAGACATTATGATAACACCTGAAAACATCTGATTTTTGGCACATGAGTACTGATCTTTGTTCGAGGCATTAGCAGTATACATGATGAACTAAAACATTCAGGAAGTTTGACTTTACCTTTTGTATGACTCCAATTCTGTCGATGCTCCAGTTTTGTGGTGCAAACACAGCCAAAATAAGCTTTGGATTTCCAAAATTTATACAGACGCATTCAACACAGATATGATCATATCCAGCCACACTGTATAAGACATGGCAAAACAGGCAAAAGGCTGTCTACGTCAAACCCGCTTCACGTACTTTGTAACCTGAGATCTAATTTGTCCTGTGTTCATAGATTTGGATCAGCTTTCAATAGGAGGGAAGAATATGAAATATCTTCATTTTTCAATCAAATTAATATCTTCGTTTTCCTTAATTTGAGTCAATGTGAACTTCTGAACTGAATTACCAGGCAAAACTGGGGCACAGAAAAAGAAAGCGTTCAAGGAGAGCTATCAACACTCAGCTCACACAAGGTTTTGCTTGCCAGAAAACAGCTTGGATTGGTTACTCTTGGACTGAAATGCGTTTATTCATTTAATTACAGACATTCTAAAGGTCTCTATTCTGTTCTGTACCGTTCACAGAGTTTGTACTTCAGATTAATTTAATGCATTTATTACATTAAATTCATTTTATTTAAAATGGTCACTTTGATTTACACCATTACCATTTTTATAATACAACTGATGTAAATACTGAGATTATGGCCACAACCAACACCATCATAATTTTTATCAAACCATTTAAAAAAAAATACATTGTATTGCAGAAAAGCTAAATCATTCATACAATCTTGCAGTACTGGTTTGTAAACCTGGATCAACTACTACCTAAATTTTCTTTTTTTGCATAGATCCACTTGTAAAGAAACTTACAGAGTAAAAAACACAACTAAACAACCTGCTGTAACATTCAACAGAATTGTTACCACATCTAGACAATGATAATCCACCAAAGTTCTGCTGTTGTTCTGGCAACTTCCAGGAATTGGACTGAACTATATAAAGCCAATCAGAATTGTGAGCATGCATACAGGTTGCTGCATCCTGCAGAAACATCAAATGACTTAACACTGTAAAAATTAATTTAGCTTTAGTTGTTTTCCAGCAAAAATAACTAAACATCCTTAAATCAAGACACATCTATAACATAGTTGTGTACATTTTGAGAATATTTTTGAACTTCATTATAATAGTTTTATCTTGTTTTTAGCATTAACACTCACTAAACATTGTTAGATTAATGCTAAAACCAGAAGTTTTTTTTTTTTGCCAGAGTTAAGAAAACTTAACTCAAGAAATATATTCTGTTAAACTATCAATTTAAAGCTGTAATTTTTACACAGATTTAAAAAATCTGTGATTTGACTTTAAATAGCATTAAATGGAAACAAACATCCACATAATATATCCAGTCTAAAAATCTTGAGATGCGTTTTTCCATCTAATTTTGTACTGCGCTTTGCTATAGACAGGCTGTTTTTATAATAAACACTGAGAACAAAATGGTTTAAAATGATCTTGAAAAAAAGATTTCCAAAACTCTTACTTTTTGTGCTAAAAGCCGAGACTTTGCAGTGTTAGGTTGGCTGACCAGAACACTTTGTTTACCTGAAATGGTCTACCAACTGTTCAAAGTTCAAATGTTCAGTGTTATTTTGACACTCAAAGAGGTGAAAGGAATTAGGATTTTATTTAAAGGGGTCATATGATGCGATTTCAAGTTTTCCTTTCTAAACAACTGGGTACAACTTTAAATAAAGATTAACCTTAACATTTTATCTTCAAACTTATTTTCAGAACCAAGTAGCAAGAAGATATCAGCAAATGTCTTCAACTTAGACACATGAAGATGTCCTAAACAGTCCAAAAAGCAAACAAGCTGCAAAATCCTCTAATTAAGACACAAAATAAACAACTTGTAGATGACCTATCTTGGAAAGATCTCAAGCATTCAGGTTTGTTTGCTGTGGTGAGAAGTTTAAAAGAGGAGACAAGCTGCCAATAGCAACAAAGGCAGGTGTAATTGGTGACTTTGACTCCAGGCTATGACTCACTGCATGGACTTTATCACAAAGCCACAGCTTCCTCTTTCCTCTGTTACTTTCTATAGTTCATATTACCTGGTACAAAAACATTCTGCCTCTGGGAGTACTAATGTTATATTTGGAGCTCACTGTGAATTGCACCTTAATGATTTATCATATTTTGCAAACTTCTATGGGTACCGCCTTGTCCTGACCAAATTTGCTTAAAAATGAAATGAATATAGGAATATGTGTGTAGCTGTACATATGATTATGTATTTAATACATAAAATCCAACAAATGTAAAAGGTAACAAAATAATTACAAAACGTGTGACAACTTCTTATTTGTGAAAAACAATCTTGTCCTGGCTGAGAACATTCAATCTTTACAATCCGCCTTTAGGTGAGACTACAGTAAAACTACAGAAAACTCATATTATATGTAATTAGACTGTCCTCTTCACTACTGTACTTACATATTTATACAATTTTATAGCTTACCTTTAGAAATGAGGTTCCGTGGTGGTGTGGTACAGAATATACCACGCTATTGAACAGTGCGCAAGTGGTTTATGCCACGCGAATCTCCAGCGCCTCGACTACAGAAGTCATATTTTACTCGAGTTGCGAACGCGAGTTTACATTTGAATTTAATAGGATGATAAAATACCGTGTTCATCAATATAATGACAAGAAACCGTGTCTTTGTATTGACTTGTCCACTCGAACGGAATGCAAACACAAACAACGCGAACAGTGTATTCCGATTCACGAACAAACAATTCTTATAATGTTCGTGAGTCTGATTCTTCATCATTCACAAAGATTCACGAACTCACGAGGTATCAGTTTGATGGGTCTGACGAATCCATCACTGAATGAACTCACAGAATTCAAACTGAATCAAAATCAACTGCGAGATACTGCAGCAATAAAAGCAAGTTTTGTGTACGTAAGTAACTGATGGAACATTTTGGTACTTTTTGGATAGTTTAGGGCGCCACATACCTGTATGCCGTATCGATTTCTCACAGAAGCCCGCAGTGCCATAGATACCGGAGGAATGCAGGCACAAAGATCAATGAGGGGCAGACAGCAATACTCTCCAAAATCTGATGCTGTGGAACAAGTAAAGCAGAGGGGGCACCATATGGCGAAACAGCCTGGAGAGAAGCAAATACAAATACAGATTTAAAAAAAAAAATGAATCACAGCTTGTGACAAACCAAAGCATGAAAAGCAAGTGAAGGCACTTCAAACTCACAGACATTGCAGTCATCAAAGCATCCACATATTCCAGTGTTCCACTGGTTTGAGCTCACTGCTGTCACAGGACTGAACTGAGGCTGTATATCATGTTTGTTGCTATATAGAGTAGTCACTGCAGGGTGAACAGAAAATAGGTAATATTTAAGTTTAACTACATTTTTATATGCTATATATGTCTATATTTTTAGGTGGTTCCATCCATATATTTTTTTGGTGGTTCCAAATGATGAAATATTATTTTGTCCTTCTATGATGAGCAAGCTTAGTTCAAGGAAAGAATTAAGAATGGATACGTTATTGATACAGCATTAATATGAACTTACCTGGTTCCTCTCACACATAGAAACGTCCTCTGTATTACGGTTTCACAATTCAAAAGAAAGAAATCAAGCCTTATTTGAATATAAGGGACACAATTTCTTTGTTACATATCTTTTTTTGCATATGGATTCCCCTCAGGGTCTGAAAGATAATTATGTTACAGGAAAATGTCATATTGTTATTTTAAAGTACCTGAAGCTTGACAGCCATTGGCAGAAGAAATTCACACATTTGGAATGATATGTTTTTGAATTCTCATTTTTCAGTAAACTATTCCTATAGATTTTGAGGTGTAAAGATCACTCTAGATGACTTAAATGCTGGGAATCAATGTTTATTCCATGTTTACATATTTTGCAAGCATTCTATTTTATCAGCCTCATATTTATAAGACAAAAGGAGTCATGATTTAGTTTTTTTTTTTTTTGTATAGCAAAATCACGTGAATGCATTCTAAAAATATGAAAAAGGGTTTTACAGAAACCAAAGCAAGCAACACAAGTCAGGATCAAAACATTCAGGAGCATTAGCATTTCCTTTTGAAATATCTGAATATGAATAAACCTTTGGCAATGTTCATAATATTACATAACAAATTATTACATAAGATGAGCTGGAAAGATGTGCCTAGACAATATCTGTCCTATTTGCTCCAGACCTGCACGAGCTACTCCCTCCAACCCTTGGTTAACCGATGTTCCCCACCGCATTCAAGCAGGCACGGGTAACCCCACTGCTTAAAAAAACCTACACTAGACACCTCACTTGTTGAAAGC